TTTTTTTTTTCTTGAGCGAGAACGAGAGAGAACATGCTTGAGCCGGGTAGAAGCAATGAGAGAAGGGGACAAAGAATCCTAAGCAGGCTCTGCGCTGACAGCAGCAAGCCCGATGCAGGGCTTGAACTCATGAACTGTGGGGCTCTAACCCACAAATGAGATCATAACCTGAGCCAAAGTCAGACACTGAAATGACTGAGCCACCCAGGCCCCTGGCAGCATCCATTTTAAAGTACCTCTTGGAGCACTTGTCTTCACTTACCTAAAATTATTTGAGTTCTATTTTACTGGGTTGTAAATTGTCTGTAAAAGTCAGTGTTGTTTACTAACCAATGCACTTATTTTAATAATACATTCCCTTATTTCTCCTTTATTTTCATAAATGCAGGATTATTATCTGCTCTTTGTTCTATAGCAGATAACAACTACATTTCTGTACATTTGCTCAAATACTATCTTGATTGTATACTCCAAAGAGTGGCTTAAGTTTCTAATAGTGACATGATTGTTTATCAGTTTGCATTTTGAGATGCTCCATACTTAGCAAAAAGGGTATATTATATGCAAACTGCTGCCTTTTGAATGAGGAGATTGAAATTTATATGACTTGAGGGGAGGGCATTGGAAACAATTCAGGTAGCAAATAAAAGTGGGCTAAAATGACCTCTGATGTTAAATGGTTCTAAAAGTTGGTTTGCCTAATATTCCGAAATAAGTTATCAAAGCTCTTACAGTAAAACGTGGATTGACTAGAATCCTGGGAGGTTAATTTATTAGGAATAGTTGAGGGTGAATCTTCTTTCCCTTTTTATAAACCATTGTGGATGGAAATTTTTAATATATTCACTATTTACTGACCTTTTCAACAGAGTATATAGAACATTGTTTAAATTCTGCATGATGAATGTGGGTCATCATTAAAGCATCAATTATTTTACTGTGTCAGTTCCCAAGTTTGGCTCCTTTTCATGTATATTGATCTTGTTCTCTATTTCAACCACCACGAAAAATATTCTGACATTTTGATTCCTTGAAGAATGCTACTTTGTGTTAAATTAAGTCCAGGAGTAGCTCATCTTCACATGTGGTTTACGGGTGAAGTAACGGATGTGTTAACTGAAGTTTGTACAGTTGACTCTCGAACAACACAGGTTTAAGCTGCAGGGGTCCACTTAAATGAGGCTTCTTTTTGATAGCTACAGCACAGTACTGTAAATGTATTTTCTCTTACTTATGATTTTCTTAGGAACATTTTCTTTTCTCTAGCTTATTTTATTGTAAGAATACAGTATATAATACAACATACAAAATATGTGTTCATCAACTGTTCGGTAAGGGTTCCAGTCAACAGAAGGCTGTTTATTAGCAGTTAAGTTTTGGGGGAGTCAAAAGTTGTATGTGGATTTTTGACTGTGGGGTCAGCACCCCTGACTTCTGCATTGTTTAAGGGTTAACTTGTATTTCCTTTAGATAAATAAACAAGTACAGAATCTTGCATGGCGATTACATACATATTTTAGTTAATGACTATCGTGGTTTAGTTACAATGCACTGTAGTGTATCATGTTACGTTATCATGTATAAAGTTAAGTTCTTAACAGTAGAATAAAAATACGCATTTCATGAGTATCATCCAGTTATCCTTTTTTTAGAACCAGTTTTTATATTCTACTTTCTAAAATAGTTATTTTGACTTAAAGCATGAAGCATTTTTCCCCTGAAGAATTTCTACTCTGTTTTTAAATGTACTTGATAAAGAGAAGACTCAATTTCTGGCAGTTTTTTTCTCTACTCACTTGAATTTCCTTCATAAAGCCATTTATGTTTATTACTAGCATTGTAAAAAGCTAGAATTACAGGTATTTTTATTCTCACTGGGCATCTCTTATCGCTTGCCAGAAATTGTTGTCAAAACCCAGTAGGTTAATGGTGTTGAAGTATAAAACTAATGTCTATATTTAGGGCACCGTTTTTTAATCAGATATTTCTGTATTTTGTGTCAAAGTTAGGCCCATGGTCTGAAATAATCTGTGACTCCCCATTTCCCTTTCTGCTTACCTAAACTCTGAATGTGTTGAATGCAATCTGTAGTGGAGAGAGTTTTTTTAAAAAAATCAAATCAATATATTTATTTTATACCATTACTATTAAAACATTTCACAAATTGATTTTCATCCAAGTGGAGAATTTCAAATCAGCGTACGTATCGAATCTAATAAAAATGATACTGTTTTGTTTTTGACTTAGGCTGAACTGGAGGCTTTTGAAAACAGACTGAAAGGTCGTCGGAAGAAGAGCAGGAAAAGAGATGAAGTGGCAGTGGAGCTGACGCTATGGCAGAAATACAAATATTCTCTCCTTCCCGCATGTGCGCTGGTGGTTTTAGTGTTTGCCTGGTACATAGCCCGTGACGTGGCATAGAAGTTGTGATCTGTTCACATACCTCAGACTGGATTTAGAGAAGTCAAGTCTGGAACGTTAGGAAGTGTATACTGTAGAACATATATATTCACATTCGTCTCTGTGTTCTCTTCCGGCTGTTGTTAGAAGGACGGAATGCTAAGCTTTCTCCTGATGAGCATACCGGAAGTGGTAGGGTAACATTGTTCACTAGTAAAAGCATGACCGAAATTGTGAAATCTTTCATAAGTCATAGCCAGTGGCAGGGTAGCACATCAGTTGTTCAGTGCGCTTCCTTGTGTTAACACAGTTGTTTCATTGACTATTTCAAACCAACTTTCTTTTCTTTTCTCTTTTCTTTTTCCTTTCTTTCTTTCTTTCTTTCTTTCTTTCTTTCTTTCTTTCTTTTTTTCTTTCTTTTGCAAAATTAAGATGAAACTGAGCCATATGTGCAGTAAAAGGAATATTTCACAATGTTTTGGTTACTTATTAAAAGGTACTTTTCTTGATCATGTAACTTTGTACTTTAAAAAAAAAACTATTCTCTAAAAGACCTCTTAAATTGTAACATGAAGCTATAATTAGATGTAATTAGATTCCAGAAATTGGCTTATTAGTGAGGAATTTTTATCAGTTATTGAAATAAGTTTTTATGTGGTGGGTTTCTCAGAGGAAAATATAATTGTTTTTAAAAATGTCAGGCTAGATTTCTCACATGTGGCTATTTCTTGTGTAAGAAGCACTTAACTGAAGTTTGGCATGTTTTGTAAAACTTGTACTTCTCAAAGTAACAATAAAAGAAAAACTGATATTTATGAGCAATAAATGCTTGAGCACAGGGCTTATGAGCTTTCTATACTTAACTCTCATTTCTTTTTACCATGATCCTGTAAGCAGATTTCAGCTGGAAATCATCAGTTCTTATGAAAAAAACACTCTGATAGAGAACTATCAGTAAGCCAAATCTGTTTGAATTGTCATTTTAAATGGTTTTCCTATTTAATTTTTGTATGATTAATGTTTTCATTAAACTTTTTCATACCAAATTTGTAACCTAGAATATTTACTATTATCTAGAAGATTCAGGAGCCAGTAATTTTAGGTTAGGTATTAGTATCAATGTATAAAAGCTCTAATACTTGATGCAAAACATAGTTAATTGGTAGATACTGAAAAATGCAGAAGTATGTTTAAACAGAAATACAAAGAAGGATTTTTACACTTTGCTGACCTGAATTCAAAATTTTTTAATGTTATATGCATTCGTCTAGTATTAGCTAGTGTCTAAAATGAAAGGGCAGTCATTCTTTTCATTATGGTATTTGTGTTTTGATTTTAGACTTTTTTCTTTTTTGCCTTTCTCCATGTTAGAGTAACTGGGTTAGTGTTTTCAGGAGCTCTAAGTTAGAGCTGCTACACTTATGTCATTTCCTGACTCTAAAAGGTGAATATTAGGGGCGCCTGGGTGGCGCAGTCAGTTAAGCGTCCGACTTCAGCCAGGTCACAATCTCGCGGTCCGTGAGTTCGAGCCCCGCGTCGGGCTCTGGGCTGATGGCTCAGAGCCTGGAGCCTGTTTCCGATTCTGTGTCTCCCTCTTTCTCTGCCCCTCCCCTGTTCATGCTCTGTCTCTCTCTGTCCCAAAAATAAATAAACGTTGAAAAAAAAAAAAAAAAAAAGGTGAATATTAAAGACTGTGAGCAACTAGGTGTCTACCTGAGGAGCTATTTTTCATGTATCTCAGAATCTTGGCCTAATAAATGAGCCTAAAGCCTATTTCCTATCTGTTTGTTGGGCTTCTGTTCTTGCTAGTTTTCTTTCGCATTTGTGGGGAAGAATTTAGTGAGCTGAGAAATGAGACTGATTAGAATAATAATAATTAAGCTGTTTATTATTTTATAATTGCTTGGCTAGTAGTTCAGAGCTTTGTTAATTTACCCAAAGTCACATAATTATTTATTTATTCAATCAACAGATGTGTTTCCTGTGTTACAGGTACTTTGTAGGTACTGGAGATGAGAGTGATCCTTCCTCTTAGGGAGTGACTAAGGAGTGGAAGGGGACAGGAAGGAAATAGATACACAATAAAATGAACGTCCTTTCATGTGTGATAGGTGGTATTAAAAAATGAAAAGTCGTGAAAATGTGGGTAAGTGGGGACTAGCTGTTCTATTCTGGGAAAGTCCCTCTGAGATGGAGACATCTGAGCTGTGCCCTGAATGACCTTCACTTGAAGACATGAGGGAAAAATCCATGAGGGAGGAAAAGTAGCAAGTACTAAGTCTCTGAGCCCCATAGACCATGGTGAGGAATTGGGGTTTAGTCCATTCGCAAAGGGCAGTGTTGGAAGGCTGTAAGTGGGGAATAGTTACTGTTGTTAAGGTGACTGGCTGGCTGCTGGCTGCTGGCTGCTGGTGGAGAAAAGACTAGAAGGGAGCAAGGGAGGGGGATGGGCTGGGAGGCAGCCTAGGCTGGAGGTGCTGGTGATGCCTCACCCCAGTTCCCCATTGCCTTTGAAAGAGTGGCGAGCACGAGGAAGTTGCTGAAACCGCTGCATGATGAGTGGAAGGGGAATGAATGAGATAGGATAGTTCTTTAAGGTCAACGTGAAGTTCAGTTTGGCCTAACTACTGGTTTGGAGGGAAATAAAGCAGTACATATGGACCTTTTTTTGCTTCAGTCTGAACCAGAGAAGGAATGGAAGAGTTATCAAATAGCCACTAGAAAGGACACAGATAAAATTGTGAATGTCATGGCCTTACTTTCCTATTCACTCTGTGTCATTGTAAAAGTTTAGTAGCTGACTATTTGAAATTTGTGGAAATTTTAATTTTTTGGCTTAAACTTTTAGGGAGTGTTCAGAACCTAGTGTTTGTATTTCAATTACTTTAGTCAAGTCCAAATTAAATTCAAATTTCAAATAAATTGGTATAATCTTTGCTGAAATTGCCAGAGGAACTTGGTTGAAGCAAAACATTGAAAACATTTGCTTTTCGCAAAGAAGTCTGATGCTTGAACTTCATGGCTATTAATGTTAAAGATTTTATTTATTTACTTATTAATTAAGTGTTTATTTTTGAGAGAGAGAGTGAGTGGGAGGGGGACAGAGAGAGAGGAGAAGCAGGCTCCATACTGCCAGTGCAGAGCCCGATGCTGGGCTCAAACTCACGTCAAGATCATGACCTGACCTGAGACAAAACCAAGATAGGGGACGCTTAACCAACACCCAGGTGCCCCTACTTACTTATTTTTTAAATGTTTATTTATTTATTTTGAGAAAGTATGAAAGCCCATGAGCAGGGAAGGGGCAGAGAGAGACAGACAGACAGAATCCCAAGCGCTGTCAGTACAGAGCCCAATATGGGGCCCGACCCAGAGTTGATCTCACGAACTGAGCTGACATCAAGAGATGGAGGCCTAACTGACTGAACCCCCCCAGGTGCCGCGATTTTTGTTAAAAATTTTAAACGCAGGTAAGTATCTGTGGTAGTGTTTCAAGATGACCTAAAGCTTTTTTGCTCTTCATGTTATTTCACATGACCCAGGTGACTCCTCCAGGTGTTACCTTTGCCCATCCTTGGGTGTTAGTGAGGCAGATGTTTAAGCTCTGGAGTCAGAATTGATGTAGGGCAGCTATGTCTCCTCTCTGGTCTTTGGAAGTTGTCCTCTGTATTGAGTGGCAGTGATTAGACCACCTAATCCTTGGGGCTTAGAGTCTACTTATAAGTCGGTGAGCTTCGTAGAGGGAAGAAGCACCCCCTAGAAGAGATGCAAATTTGGGAGGGGGAGCTTCGAACGCGTCCGCGGACAAGAGAGACCAGGCATCCACCTGGAAAACCATTTCCAGGTATTGCAGAATCTTGGTCTATTGGGGTAAGCTTAGGGCTCTTATTTGCTGCGCTTCTCTTATTTCTAAGCTTCGATTTCAGTTAACGTGCAACATGTACTTATGTAGAACTGTGAAGAGTTACCCACATACAGCCTGAAATTCCACAGTCCAGATTCATTTGAGTTAAAACACTTTCAGAGAGACATTCCCTTTTCATCATCATCTGGCCATCCTCTACCTTACAATATTTTTTCCTCCTAGCACCAAACAGTACCTGTCATTGTATCATGGATTTGTTTGTTGTCTCACCTGCTTCACTAGAACATAAGTTCCATGAGGGCAGGAGTGCAGTTTTGTTTGCCGCTGTAACCTCAGAGGGGGCACGCCTCGCCACAGAGTAGATGCTGGCATTAGTTTTCTGGGGCTGCCATAGCAAATGGCCACAAACGGAGTAGCTTGAAATGACAGAAATTTATTCTCTCACAGTTCAGGAGTCCAGAAGTCCAAAATCAAAGTGACAGTGGGATTGACTGGCTGCTTCTGGAGACCGAAAACTACTCCATGCCCCTCTCTCAGCTTCTGGTTGTGGGCATCAGTCCTTGGCTTGTGGACATAATTACTCCAGTCTCATCTCCGTCTTCGCATGACCTTCTTCTCTGGGTCTGTGTCCTTTTCTGTCTCCTCTGTATATTTAAGGTCCACTCAGCCGGTATAATCTCATTTTAATTAATTACATCTCAAAGGACCCTATTTCCAAATGTGGAAGGTGACATTCTCAGGCTCCAAATGGACATTGGTTTTGGGAGGGATGCTATTCACACTGCAACACTTATTGTTTAACTTCTGTAAGCCTCAATTTCCTTTTGTAAAATAGTGACAAGCATTAGCTATTATTATATGTCTGCAACTATTTTAAAGCAGTTTATGATTTAAAAATTGCCATGACAGCCTATGCATTCTCCTTTTACAGCAAAGGAAAGTAGGTTTGTTTCAAGGATCAAAAACAAAATAGATATGTCACTTTGTGAAGTACTTGGTCACATAGTGGTTAGAAAATCTTAGCCACTCACCTGGGTGGCTCAGTCGGTTAAGCGTCCAACTTCAGCTCAGGTCATGATCTCACAGCTCATGGGTTCGAGCCCTGCATTGGGCGCTGTGCTCACAGCTCAGAGCCTGGAGCCTGCTTTGGGTTCTGTGTCTCCCTCTCTCTCTGTTCCTCTCCGGCTCACGCTCTCTCTCAAAAATAAGTAAACATTAAAAAAAAACTTGAAAAAAAATCTTAGCTATAATAATATAGGTAAGTGTGACTTAATCTCATAACTTCAAGACCTCTGTTACAAATGGATTCACAAATCAGAGGGGGAAAAATCTGTCGTGAACTGAGGCACCTCAGCTTTTGCTCATGTGGTCACTGTCAATGAGGTGGGCACTATCCCTCTGAAGACCAGGCAGAATGCTGGCCAAAGGTAGGGGCGTTTGGACAAATTGCAGGAAGGGGCCCTGTTGGTGAGGAAACAGCACTAGGTGGGCAAGGGCACTAAAAATAAAAATTCCTTTGGAAATTTTTCTGGACCAATTCTTATTCCTTTTCCCCAAATGACTGCTCTGGTATAGTAGAGGAGGGGACTGATACACTAGTAATAATAGGTACAGCAAAGCAGAAGGTCTACCCATGCTACTCTTAACATATGCACAATATTTCAGTGTGCTGATAAGGGTATGTTGATTTTGTCTTTTTAATTAAACTCCCCCCTGCAACAGTTAAATTTCCAGTCCACCTATTTCTTGCTCTTTAACAGTGTAAAAAAATCTTTGCCTCTTTAGATCTCAGCTAAAACTGCCACGTTCTAAATCCCCTAAAGACAGCCTCACGTTATTTTCAAGTATTTTTACATAGCTTATTCTTTGTGTATGTTTAATGCATCTCTTCTACTAGACTGACAGTTCTCTGAGGGCAGGAGCCCTTATTTTGTTCACCTGGTGGCTAGCAAATCCTAAATGAGTATTAGTTGAATGAATAGCTAAATAGATAGGTCGTGGGGGTAGCGTATCTATCTTAGCCACTGCTTGCCTATTACCGTCCTCGGAGGCTGGCTGCAGCTTTAAAATATCTTTCTCTTGTTCTCAAACTGCCTTCATTTGTAGTACTAAGCACTAAGGAGGTCTGTCATATATGTGACCAAAGTTTCATCTGTAAAATTATCCTTTGTAGAGATACATTCAGTATGTTTAAGAAGTTGATCTTTCCCATCAACCTCTTTAAGGTTTGTCTTATTTCTTTTAAATGATCTAACTAGTTGAACATACACCGGAAGTGCTAGACAATAAAAATTTCAAAAGGCTACAAATGTTTCTCTTGTAAAATTAAAGCATTTTAAGAGACTAGCCGGCGGTTGTTATTTTAAGTTGAAAAGCAAATGTGGCAAATTTTTAAAAAGGAATAACTCAGGGCATTGAAGATTACCGTGGGCCCTCTGCACATCCGAAGTACTTCAGATGTTATGAGACTTCTCACGTTTTTGTGATTTCTTACATTATAAACCCTTCGTACAAAGTATATAAAAATAGATGTTTCCTGTCATGCCACCAATACCTCAAGTATTCACTCTGGTACCATTGGTAACCAGAACTGGTTGGGTTTTGGGTTTTTTTTTTCTGGAAAGAAGTGTAAGGAATTCTTATCTGACACCAGCAATGCAAGCAGTGTTAGTTCTCAGAACACAGCTGGTGTGGAAGAGAGAGGGACACCCGTCCACACCAGCTATCTCCAATCCACTGCTTTATCTACTTTGCTTTCACAGTTCCTGCAGCACCTCCACCAGAGGGCAGAAAGTGGAAGAGAAAGGAGGGGACACAAATCCATACCAGCCTTCGGAATGCCTGTAGAGCCCTTGAGGACTGAATCCAACCCTCCTTTTGCAAAGGGAGTTAACTGTGGCTCAGGAAGGCCACGTGATTTGCTCAAGGTAGAGCCGGCTGAAGAATCCCCTAGGCTCTTCGTTTTCAGACTGGTGTCCCTGCAGTAATAACTTCTGATGAGGCAGTATTTCAATAAGAACACAGTCCTCAAGTTACAAGGCTTCCGGGGCATCCCAGCTCAGCACTTGTCTAGCCGTGTAACCTCGGACCGGCCACTTCAACTCCCGAAATCTTCCTCATCTCTAAAATAAACAGTAAGAGTACCTACTTCATAAAGGGGTTGATAGACCCAAAAGAGAGAATCTGTGTACAGTGCTTAGCACAAAGCTTGCCTCAGATACTAAGAGCTTAATTTTTTGAATGATGGTAAACTTGTCAGATACTGGATTTCAAATCTGATGTTTGGAACACTGATGAAATCAGCGTTTCAACTATTTTACTATATATATTTTTTACTGTTTCATTTCATTTCAGAAACAAAATACAGATTTCCCCCCAGTTGTACAAAGGTAGACAGTTTCCCTCAGCAATGTTATTCAAGGAACAGGTGCCTGGTGCATACTTTGTTGACTATGCATGACCTCCACCAGAAAAATGGAGATGGGTGTATTCCATGACCTCATGAATCATTTTTGAAATTTCCATTAAGATCTTGACCGAAGTCGGATAAAAACTCATTTTTCAGAAAAAAATGCAATGTAGTCTCCCTGCCCCCCACACCCCCGGACAGATGACAACTGTCTTGGCCTTCACACGAGAAAGGAATCTTTACCCTTGTAAATACCGGCAGTGCCCCCCTTGCTGTCTGCAGAAGAGCGGATGATAGCAAATGACAGAAAAGCAGGGTTGCCGGACCCCTCGGGGGCAGCCTGTGGATCCCTCCCTAAGAAATTGCCACCTGGGCTTATTAGGGAAGCAGCCTGAGGTTCCCCCACATGCCTGCAAAGCTCAGCAAAGTCTCAGGCAGTTTTGCAAAAGCAGTTTCTTCACCAAATATGTAACAGGAGGCAAGTTTCTATTTGTCTAATGCAAATAATGCTCGCCTTCAAAACGTTACATCTTTTTTTGAGAAAACAAAGTTGGCCTTTTATTGACAGTGCCCGCAGTTATTTCGATTTTTACTTGCCTAAGCTCTGGCTAAAAGAAAATGGTGTAGGATGTGGTAAGGAGATTTTGGGGCGCCGAGAAGTAACTCTTGCTCCCAACTGTTCTGTCTCCCAGGGCCCAAAATTTCAGGTCTTCTTTTCTTGCCGTCCTCGCGGGGTGTAAGTCTGGGGGGTGGGGAGCCAGCAGTCTGCTTGGCCTCCCCCTCTGCCCCTGAAGAGTAACTTCTTTGAATGCGAAAGAGGTGGGGTTGCGGAGGATCTGTCCTTAAGGGCTCGTATGGGTGGGACCCAGAGACGGCAGTGAAGGGAGGGAGTGGTCCGCGGGTGGGATCTGTGGAGCAGACAAAATGTGGGGCCCCTGTCCCTTGAAGTTCAACTTGTCTCTTCCTGAGTGAGGAGCAAGTCGTCCGTAGTACGCTCCCCCACCCCCCCACCCCCAAAGGGCACAACGGGGAAAGAAAAGCGACCAGGTTAAGAGTGGGCACAGGAAAAAGCGAGTCATGTGCTCCAGGAAACAGTCCCCAGCCCTGGCTCGGGAAGAGCGCTACCGCCCAGCCGGAGCCCCGGAGCAGGTAAGATCCACGAACTGCGCTTGCCCGCAAACAGGTCGGATGACCTCTCAGTGCAGATGAATTCGGGGTCGACCCCTCCTTCCCCTGCGTCCTCCTCCCCTCGGTGCCACCTTCCTCCCCCGCCGTCGGTGAGCTCCGGCTTGCCCGGCGGCGTTGAGCTCCCAGCAACCAGTCCTCGGGGCGCACGATCCTCCACGGGTCGCCCAGAGTCCGCGACCCTCGCAAGGTCATGAGCAGACTTTCCTTCAACGTCCGAGTCGGGTCGGTCCGGAGACCCCGCTCTCCTCGGCAGGGGCGTCGGCACGTCTCCCGCAGAGTCCCTCCTCGGCCGGGCGCCCTGCACGCGGCAAGTGGACTGGGCGGCGCATGGCCGCCGGGGGAGGCGGCAGCAGGAGCCGTCGGCACGAGCCCCTCGGGGATCCCCGGCTTCCCCTCTGCGCCAGCGCCGCGGACGCCCGGGACGCCCCGGCCCCGGAAGCACTGCGCAGCAGCCCGGGCGGCCCCAGACGTAAGCCTGCTTTCCGACTGCGCGCCCCTCGGTCTCCGTCCCTCGCAGAGCCGGGGCTCGCGCTCGCTCCCCCCGCGGACAGCCGGCCCATTCTGAGCGTTGGCTTATCCCAGAACCGGCCCCGCTTGCAGCGTGCCGCGAGCTCCCGCGTCCCCTGCGCGCCGACTGTCTCTGGCGCAAGTCCGCCTGGACACAACGGGCGCCGGCCTCCGGGGGGCTCAGGCTCGGAGCTGCTCTGGGTTTGGCGGGCTCCGATCCTGTCTTGGGAAGGGACCGCGCCGCCCCTACTTCGGGAGACGGAAGGGAGGGAAGGGCGTCACAGACGGCTCGCACTGGCCTGCGCCCCCAGGAACAGGGTCTGATTTGCGACCGCCCTTCTTTTTCGGGGTCAGGAGGGTCGCAGAATCCGCTCACTGCCAGGCGGTGCCGGCTGCACGGAGTCGGGGACCAGTGACCGCTCTGTGCGAGCGGGGACAGAGGGCTAGGCGGGCGGGAGGAGGGTGGTGTCGTGTCGGATCCTGTGGGGACTCTGCCCCAGCTCCCGTGGCGGGCGCCCCACCCCCGGTGCCACCAGCTTGGGGCCGGTGGATGGCGGTGTAGGCGCTTTTAGCACTGCCGGTCAATCCCAGACCGAGCCCCTGGCGCTCGGAGCTGCGAGCCCGACAGGAAAGCGGCCGGGCTGGGCATTCCCAGGGAAGCTGTCCTCGCAGTTCAGAAAGTGGAGCTTTCCTCCCGCGGGGAACCTCTGAGAACAATGCGCGACAAAGATCAATTCTTGGCTAAGCCTCCGACGGCTTCTGGGTACACATTTGTAGTTTTTAGGTTTTTGTCTTTGTAGAGTGGTTTGCTGGTGGAAACAGAACTCTGCGAAGGAATGCCCGACTGCTACCAGAAAGGGAGCCAAGTTCAGGATGTACTGACGAAGGCGGGATCATTATCCAAGAACACACACTTTAGCTGGCGGTGTTGAAATTAAAGATGCTGCAAAACGTTAATTTTTTGGCATGACCCGGAGAGCATGAGGAGAATTGCACCCATGCATCCCGTTTGCCCCATCACTGTTTTAGGCATTCCACTTTGCCTGGCCAAGCGGAAAATGGGGCTTCTTGGCTAAAGGAATACTGACCAGTACAGAACACTCGATCCGCAGGAAGCGCTCAAGCAACCTCCAGACTTAACCTGTTCCACAAAATCTACCCGGACATGCAAAGTGCACACACATACATGCTTTTGTGTTTGAGACTGTTTATCGAGGGTAGGGATGGAAAAAAAACCACAAGGGTGAAAGGTGCTGTTAGCTGGGGTGCCTTGGAGAGTAGAGTATGGGTTTTGGTGTCTAAGTTCAAATCTCTGGCTCTACCCCTTGAAAGTTACAAAGCCCTGGGCAAGTCAGATACTCCTGTTGAACCTTGATGTTCGACCTGGATCCAGCAAATGGAGATGATACTGTTGGCCATTTATAAGAATGCTGTGAGGATTAAGGAAATAAATATGTCCCGGAAAGACTATCCATGATAGTTGTACATTCTATGAAGTCTCCCTAACCTGTTTTTACTTACAGAGCTGGTCCCATCTCAGATCCAATGAGTCTGCCAGGCTTTTCTGCACAGCCAGGCTTCTGTGATTCTAAAGCCGTGCTCTCCAATAGAGTAGCTGCTGGTCACACATTGTTATTTAATTAGTGTCATTATTTAAATTCATCAAAATTAAATCAAATGAAAAATTCCATTCTTCAGTCTCACCAGACATTTTTCAAGTGTTCACTAATCCCACGTGACTAGTGGCTACCGTATTATGTTGATAGAACATCTTCAATGTGGAATGTTCTCTTGAGCTTTCTTTTACTTGAGTGATAATTTAATGAGGCTCTTGGATGATACAGTTTTTCTGTTCAGTTGCCTCCTTTTGCTTCTTTTCTTCCCAAAGAGTGGTTTTGTATAGCTAAATCACTTCTGTTTTGTTGAGGTCTTTGACACGGGGCACTTGTTGAATGGTAAATGGCTAGACTCCTTTATAAATCAACCAACAAGTGTGAATTAGCCACAAAGTCCTTGGGCATCCCCTCTCAGCCTTGATGGTTTTTGCTAATGTATTCTTTTCCCTTCACAATGAGCCTTATGGCTGATGGTTTTCCTAGTTTTAGAGCAGAAACTCTGACATAATAGAGGAACGCTCTTCTCTCTCCCTTATGCCCTCCCATGTTGTACCATTTTTTTACACGAATGACAGTTCTAGAATACTAGGTTCAATGTTTGCATCGAAATTTACTGGGAGTGTTCGATTTATTTAGATTTGAAACTAATACCTCTGCCTTATTCTGTAGGACCCCTTCCTGAACTCACTACCCTTTGACAGACCATATTTTACTTCTTTATTCTGATTATTTTCTGTGTCCTCCTACGCTGAGAAGGCAGAGATTTTTCTGTGTTTGCATTCATTGCTAGAAGAGCGCCTGGTACATAGTGGGTACTTATTAATTATTTGTGAATGAACGACTGTACAGAGGTGTATTTGGAACTAGCCAGGACAGATAGATGCTGAGTTGGTTTCCAAGGGCTCTGTAACAAATAACCACAAACTGGGTGGCTTAACACAATAGAAATGTATTCGCTCACTGTTCCAAAATCAAGATGTCAGCAGGGCCATGTCCCTTGAAAGTTCTAGAGAAGAATCCTTCCTCCCCTCATCCTAGCTTCTGGTGGCTGTTGGCAATCCTTGGCTCATAGCTGTATCACCCCAGGCTCCACCTCCATAGTCCTTCTTCCCTGTGTCTCCATGTTCTTTCCTCTTTTTTTTTTTTTTTAATTTACATACAAGTTAGTTAGCATATAGTGCAACAGTGATTTCAGGAGTAGATTCCTTAATGCCCCTTACCCATTTAGCCCATCCCCCCTCCCACAACCCCTCTAGTAACCCTCTGTTTGTTCTCCATATTTAAGAGTCTCTTATGTTTTGGCCCCCTCCCTGTTTTTATATTATTTTTGTTTCCCTTCCCTTATGTTCATCTGTTTTGTCTCTTAAAGTCCTCATATGAGAGAAGTCAAATGCTTTTTGTCTTTCTCTGACTGACTAATTTTGCTCTGGGCTGATGTTTTGGCAACCAATACCCTCCAGTTCCATCCAATGAAGTTAAAATGGCAAGATTTCATTCTTTTTTGGATTGCCGGTAATACTCCATTGATGTGTTATTGATGTGTGATACCTGACATGTGTGTGATGGGTGTGTGTTGTTGACGCGCCAGCATAATGGCGCCATGTCTTCTTTATCCATTCATCCATCAATGGACATTTGGGGCTCTTTCCATACGCATTTGAGCAACGTTGATAGTTAACGCTGCTATATAAACATGGGGGGTGCATGTGTCCCTTTGAAACAGCACACCACCTGTATCCCTTGATAAATACTGTAGTGCTTCATAGCAATTGCTGGGTCATAGGGTAGTTCCATTTTAGTTTTTTGGGAACCTCCTATGGTAGTTTTCAGAGTGGCAAAATCTGGCTGCTGCATTCCACCAATAATGCAAAGAGATCTCTTTCTCGTCCTGCCTTAACATCTGTTATTGCCTGAGTTGTTAATGTTAGCCATTCTGACAGGTGTGAGGTGGTATATCTCATTGTGGTTTTGATTTGCATTTCCTGATGATGATATTTGAACACTTTTCATGCATGGGTTGGCCATCTGTCTTCTGGAGAAGTGTCTATTCATGTCTTTTATCATTTCCTTCACTGGATTATTTGTTTTTTGGGTGTTGAGTTTGATAAGTTCTTTATAGATTTTGGATACCAACTTATGTCTGATATGTCATTTGCAAATATTTTAATTTTCCTTCACTCCTGTTAGTTGGTGTCTTTAATTTTTTGCTGATTGTTTCCTTGCTGTGCAGAAGCTTTTTTATTATATTGTAGTCCTAATAGTTCATTTTGCTTTTGTTTTCCTTGCCTCCCTCGGAGGCTTTGTGTTGAGTAAGAAGTTGCTGCGGCCAAGATCAAAGAGGTTTGTGCCTGCTGTATCCTCGAGGATTTTGATGGCTTCCTGTCTTACATTGAGGTCTTTCATCCATTTTGAGTTTGTTATTGTCCGTATGGTGTAAGAAAGTGGTCCAGGTTCATTCTTCTGCATGTCGCTGTCCAGTTTTCCCAGCACCACTTGCTGAAGAGACTGTCTTTATTCCATTGGATGTTCTTTCCTGCTTTGTCAAAGATTAGTTGGCCATATGTTTGTGGGTCCATTTCTGGGTTCTCTATTCTGTTCCATTGACCTGAGAGTCTGTTCTTGTGCCATCTTTTCTCTTATTATAAAAACACTGGTTATATTTGATTAAGGGCTAACCCTAATCCAGTATGACCTCACCCTAACTAATTACAAAGATGGACTTTCTTTCTTTCTTTCTTTCTTTCTTTCTTTCTTTCTTTCTTTCTTTCTTTTTTTTTAAATTTTTTTTTTCAACGTTTATTTATTTTTGGGACAGAGAGAGACAGAGCATGAACGGGC